CATTTGTAGTGAAACTCTAAGACCGTAAGGTCACCACAGCACATGGCAGAGCTGTGTTCTTGCCCCCACCCCAGCCTGCTGTGGATGAGGACTCAACTTCAAGTGCAACAAAGCAAATAGTTTCTGCTCACACACGCCTCATTCTTCAGCAGAGCGTTTGGTCATGCCCCTGCTGCCTCCACCCACAAGAAATCCAAAAAAACTTGAAAAGACTGTGACAGTCACATGGAATTAGAGCACAAACCCAGATTACAGCCAATTTAAGACCTGTTTGGGCAGGTGGATGCCGACAGGAGAGGTCTTCTGCCCATGCTCCAGGCTGGCATGGCAGGATCCTGCTCGGATCTGCAGGCAGCCCAGCGCTGTGTTTAGTGCAGCCCAGCACTGTGTTCAGCCCAGCGCCGGGTAATGCAGGGAAGCTCCTGCCTAAAGAAATGCCTTTCCAAGGTGGGCAATGCAGACTAAACATGCTTTCATGGGTGCCGGGGGAGGGCAGCTTGGGTCTGTCTGTACTTGCCCACCTACAAGTGCAGGAAAAGAGCTGGAGAAACTCATCCTTCGCAACTCCAGGTCTTCAGGCCTTTCCTTCCAAACTTACAAGTAGCTTTTCTGTGCAATGGCATTCAGCAGGCTGCCTGAGTTGTCCGTGAAAGCACGGGGTGCTGCAGCCCTGCTGACTCAGCAGCACTGGAGTTCCCACTTTCATAATTGCCTGCTGGCCCAGGGGGGCTGTTTTGGCACCGCCTAACAGAAGCCATAGATGCCATCGAATGATGACCTATGCCAGTCACCTTGTGCTGGAGCACCCCCAGCACCCATCAGAAGCAAAAACTGTCCTGGCTTCATCTGAGCCTGAACTTGTTTACTTCCAACTTCTGCATCTCATTCATGCCTTTTGCAGCAGCATAAGGCTCTGAATCAGCAAAGTAATCGTGCATCTTCAAGCATGGCTTTAACAAAACAAAACAAAATGCTTTGAACAGGGCGTTACATTTCACAGGTATTGATGATACACTCCTAATCTATGTCCTAGGTAAGAGCATGCTTTGGCCATTCTGATCCAGTTTGTCTTTAATGTGCCCCTGGAAACTCCAGCCTCCACTGGAAACTTTGACAGGCAGAACAGGAGTTAAAGCCAAGAGACCAAGAAGATTGTTTTTTAGGAAATAATCCTTGGTTGGAGGGGAGAAGGTTTGGAAAGGCTGGAGCCCATGCCAGTGTGGTAACCTCAGGTTTCCCAGAGGTGCTCAGCGGGGCAGAGGAGTGGGTGTTTCGGGGGTGTCCCGTGGGGGGCCGGGGCGCACAGCCCGCACTGGCACAGCCGTGTGCCCGGCCCCGTGGAGCTGCCCAGCCTCAGAGCAGGGCGAGAGTGTCACGGGAGATGGACAAAGCCAGGCGGGATTGAATAAGGGAACATCTAGCAGAGATTTTTTAATGCCTTTAAAACTGATGATGCCACCAGGGTTTTTTTCCTGGTTGTTAATTAAAACCTCTCTCAGACAAGCAGATTTCAGCCCATGACTTGAAAGAGGAATTGAACCTCCCTTCAGAAGTCCCTGGAAGTAAGTCCTTACAAAGGAAGTGCAGTTGTTCTCCCAGGCCGGCACACCTTGCCTCTGCTTTCATCTTGGCACAAAATGCATTAATCACTCTTTTTTTTCACCCATAATAATGTAAGCAACGAAAGTCTAATAAACAGTCTTCATCCTCTGATGCTCAGCAATGAGCCATATGGGAAGATTAGTGATTAGACAGGGTTTGAATTCTCTGTAGCATGATTACAGTATAGAAGTAGGCTAGCAAGACACTGTAACAGCACCTCCTTGTATGCTCATTTTCCACTAGCAAGGAAATGGGGTTTTTCATAATTTTGCTTCTGTGGCTGCCATTTCATACTGGATATAAAGGGATTTTTTGTTGAATAGCAGAGCTCAAACCAGGCATGTTATTATTTAAGAACTGATCGTGTTTATGGGTGTGCTGGCTTTGGGAGGGATGTGCAAAGTGATGCCATTTGTCTGCCCAAGTCACTGTTATGCCTGATGGAGCCCGGCTGTCCTGGGGATGGCTGAGCACCTGCCTGCCAGCGGGAAGGGGTGAATGAATTCCTTGTTTTGCTTTGCTTGTGTGAGTGGCTTTTGCTTTACTGATTAAACTGCTTTTATCTCAACCCATGAGTTTTCTCACTTTTACCCTTCCGATTCTCTGCTCCATCCCACTGCCAGGGAGTGAGTGAGCAGCTGTGTGGGGCTTAGTTGCCAGCTGGGACTAAACCATGACAGTGGGTTACCTATAAATACTCCAAAGGATATTATGAGAAGGAATTATGTGTTTCTGATGACCACTTGCTAGGGCTGAAAGAGGATTATTTGTTTTTCACATATATGAGCTGTATGACTCTTAAAACCACCCTGGCATTGCAGGTTTAAACGGATGCTGGGAAGTGTTTGCTCAGTGCAAGACTGTCCTATTCTTGTGAGCGTACACCTAGGAAAGCCCAGCCTTATCACTACTAGTTGTTGCACTTTAGTACCTTGCATTAGTACCTTCGTAGCTACCGGTCACTTTGGTTGTGCAGACATAATTTCTTCAGACTTTTCCTGGAAGCGTTTGCAGACTACCTATAAATAAGAGCAGATGCGTTTGACAGCACCCACCACCCGGCTCTCTCTCTCTCTCTTCCACCACTTACCCTCAGAGGCAGAGGCCCCGTGGTGCCAGCCCATGAGGATGAGGTCTGCCTCACTGGAAAGCATCTCCAAGGTCTGGCCCTGCGATGCTCAGGGACTTCTACTGCTCACACACACATTTGTGTTGCACATTTCCCCGGGGGGTGAGGGCATCAGCACCCAGATGTCTCAGCGCTGCACCCATCCCAGCAGGGACGGAAAGGGTGGTGAGGAAAACTTAGTGCAACCTGTTTAATAAAGATAGAGATCTCCAAACACAGTGGCACAGGAAACACCAACTGATAGAGAAGTCTCTCATGAACTTCATGTATTTACAGCAGTGTGGCTGTAATTGAGAAGAACATTTTAACCAAGATACAGAGGACAGGAATATTAGAATTACTGAGTGCAATTTTTTTGATTGCTTTAGATGTTAAATAGGTAGGATTTGCTTCAATATCTTGCTTACCATTTAAGGTAAGACTAATTTCTAGTTCCCAAAGACCTAAATATTCATTAAAAGCATTATGGAACTGATCTATTTGAAATGCAGCTCTAAAACACAATAAATATAAACCCTCCTCCAAAGACGTTTCAATTTAAATAAGTTTTATGGCAATTTTCATGCTGAAATTGATCAATAAATTAACATTTTTGTTTCTCTTGTTGTTTGTGTCATCCTACAAATTCTGTGTCAGGGCCAGCTTGTCTCTATATGTTTGATGAAAACAGAGGAAAAGCAATGTGCTATTGCATAATTATTTTATGACCAAGACAGGTTTTATTATTCCCGTTTTCCAACACCTGGCTCCTCCCATGGGCTCTCTTGGACTGCTTTTTCCCAGACCTCATCACAGCCTGGTTTGTCACTGAGGGCTTAGCTCCAGGACCCTGCACCAGTCATCACGACAATCTATTTCTCCCTTTCTTAATTACCCATTTAAAAACAGATTGTTCATACACATCAAACCTGCACTGGGTGGGTGCAGTACTTTTTATGTGTCACTGTTACCCTGTTGTAGATGGTCTCATTTACATGAGGTTAAAGCCACTAATTTAAAAAATATAAGCAGGTGCTGCAAAATGAACCATAATCAGAAATAAGGCCATAGTGAGACAGCGTAAGGTGTTCTTCCAGATATTCCCCACATACCAGAAAATTTCAGCTGTGGGAAGCCTTTGAACACCTCTGATCTGAATATTTCCTAAGTCCATTTTGCCTCTGTGATACAAGTCTTGCTGTCCGTCTCTTCTGGGCATGCTTAACCCTTGGGCAGAGGCTCAGGGCTCCAGCACTTCACAGCGAACACATGGCGCCAGTCTGATGGTGGCCTGATCAGAAAGCAGGAATGCTCTCCAAAGGGCAGACACCAAAGCATGCCTTACCAAAGAAAGTGAAACTCAAGTTCAACCTCACAGCTCTCATCTCACCTGCCTCTCTACAATATAGCCTGGATCCTCCTGGTCTGATGCTTGACCTCCAGTGCGGTCCTGCAGCTGCCCAGAAGCCCCCCCAAATGCATTTCTCGTGGCTTGTATCCTGGATTTTCTCTCTGTCAGTGCTCTCTACCTCTGGGTGGGTGCAGTAGTTGGAAGGGAGGCACAGGGGGTCAGGCCTTCGGTCACACATGAGGATCTAGTTCTCGAGTGGCCACCATCACCATGGGCTCCTCAGCCACGTAAGCCAGGTCCTGGATCACCACACGGTACCTTCCATCCCCAGCCGTGCAGCTGGGACGTGGCTAGACACAAGCCAGCTCTGGGTGCTAAGGAGTCAACCTTAGGGTCTCCTTATGGTCCTCATACTCTTGGTAGTCTGCAGAGCTAAAGAGATTGTCTTTGTGGATCTTAATCCCTTAAAAAAAAAAAAAAGGTCTCTGCTATTCTAGGCCAACATGGGTACTTGCTTCTATTATTTGTGACATTGATGCTTTATGCGTATCTTTATTTTACAAAGACCATAATACCAAGCTGTGGGAGTGATGCTGGCAAGGCCACCTGATGTTGAGCTACTGATGCTGTCCCCTGGCACATGGCTTGCTGACCAGCCTCCCTGCAGAACTCCCCAACAAGTGGTGGCAGCTCTTGTCACCTTCTGGTCATGAATCAGGTCCATGCTGAAGTAGATGGGCACGAGACACGAGAAACCTCACAGCAGCCTTTGATGCCAGCCTGATCTAGGAATGAAACGTGTTTTAACTTGCAAACATGCTACATCCACCCCAAGCTTTCCTACCCCACGGAAGAAATGAGGGATAGGAAGGGGCTCCCAGAGCACACGCTGGCAGGTCCCAACTGCTTTGTGAATGACTCATAAGGAACACTGTAAACTCCAAGTAAATGCAACATGTTTTATTTGAGGCTGGAATAAATTACATCTGTAAAGCATAATTTATTGCTTTATAAATTGTCTGCTCTTAAAAGGCATTAATATCAAACATAAACAAAAGAGACACATTCAATTAGCAGTTCAGTTCTCTTAAGCTTCATGAATAGCTCAGTAGGGGGATTTAATTCTATATACGATTGTAATCTCTGATCACAGGCTCATAAACTTGACTTTGACATGCATTATCATCATTCAGACATGTTGAGGGGACTGCAGATGTATTCATTTGCTTTAGGATATAATTTTTATTCCAATTTTCCCTAAAATATCCCACTGAATACTCAGTCCTTCAATCCTCACTCAGATACAAATCCCACTGGTTTCAAAAAACTCCTTTAAAAGGTATGTGGGGTTTTCTACCCCTGCAGAAGGAGGGCTTCCAAGTCTAAAACAGGACTGAGTCTGGTCCCAAAATTAAGTGAAAAACAAACTCCTCCTAGGTTAAAATACTGAAATCCCATGCACAAAAAGTGTTTTGTCCCATTCTGAAGATTCTTGCAAAAAAATCCCAACATTAACTGAATGAACCGGTGTGGATACTTCATATTTTTATTGTACAGTTACTCCATGCCTGAGACTGGTATGTATTTTGCTCAGCACCTGTACTGCTCTAGGATGCAGACCCAGGTGAGTCGAGTCTGCCCCGAGGCCTGGGGGCTGAGAGGGTGCGCTCCGGAGGCCGAGCGTGTTGCAGTAGCCAGCCCTGGATGCACAGAGGATCTGGCCAGCTCCAGCTAGATACGACAGGCAGAAGAAAGGCCAAAAAGCCACTTCCTTGGCCTCCCGGGGAGTCACAGCTCCTGAACGCCAGAATGGGAATGAACACTGATGAGCAGCATTCACTGCACCATGAAAAAGGATTCCACCAAGGCATCCTGCCCTGCTCTGACCCTCTCACACTGCAAGGACCAAGTGCTCCCTGTGCCTCGGCCCCAGAACAGCAGCTCCCTGAGCCATTCCCTGAGCAGGGAGCGTGTGCCTTTGCTAGTGCTTTCCTGGCTGGGTCCGAAGCAGCACAAAGTGACCTGGCTTATGCTCTGCCTTACACCAGAGGTAAAACTCTCTAGAAAGAGAACCAGAGACTCTTGTCTCAATTAGCCCTTGGAACAACTCAGAAAGTTTGCAGAGAAAATCTCCAGGGCAGCTTCTCTTCCAGCCACAAAACTAACCTTTAAAATAATGAGCCACCAGTACAGCAAATCCTTCTAAAACTGGCTCAATATTACTCAGAAGGTTCCTATTTAGAGAAGGGTTTCTTCTCATACCAGTCTCTGATGTTCTTGTCATGCCTACAAGAATGTAAATAGCTGAGATAGATGCTAGGATATTTTATGCTGTATTATTGAATGAGAATGGTTAAATCTATTACTGGATCCAAGAAATATATATCAAACTTCAAAGAAAACACTGTTACATTGATCCTGGTGTGATTACAGTTTTCATTACTATTTCATCAGTAATGTACGTATCTTTTGTATGTTTTATGCATAATCTCATTTAAAAAAACAGCAACCAAACTGTCTTTTTCTAAACACGGTTTCCACAGAGGATGTGTTTCTGTTGCACTGTGAAGGATGGCCAGCTTCGACCTCTGCGAGGCAGTACAGCAGATCTCAGGCGCTGGACTTGCCCATAACAGCTCCCAACAAGTCAAGTGCCATGGCAGAGCTTCAGTGGGAGGCTGGGAGCATGCAGGACCAGACCTGGAGCTGTGCTGAATTGGGTCAATTATTCTGCATTTTGGTGTCCTCCTCATTCAGGGACTGGACAACCGTGGTTTAGCTCTCTGCCACATGGTGAAGTGCTTAACAGAGGAGGGGGGAACACTGACACCCCTTCCTCCACCTCAGCACCTGCCTTGGGAGAGGCTTGTGGAAAGGTGGCTTTGTGGCTGCTTTGTGCTAGCAGGAGGATACGCTGCAGCTGGGACAAGGGCATGCATATGGTGCATGCCTGATCCATCACCATCTTAGAGAAACATAACTCAGAAATGTGCAAGCCTTTAAAATCATCAGTCATCTCATTTATGCTCACCGACAACAGATTCTTGGCTGACTTCTTTTTTCCTTAGAAGTTCTGAATTTTTCTTTGAAGATCAGAAAGAGGAAAGCTAGCCTTCAGGGAGAGGGACAAGCAGAGACAATTGCAAATTAAAATGCATGCACATGTCATCCACCACAGCAGTGACCTCCAGTCTACACTTGACAACACATCTTATTATCTTGAACCTTAATTTCTCATCCCTTTCAAAAGTTCCCAAGAGCATTCCTTTCTGTGTCAGTGAGATGTCCCAGGGGACTCTACAGGGAAAACTAATGAGAGGAGCAAACTGTTGTCACCAGGACAGGTTACAGGGCTACATTCTAGCCACAGATGCCAGAGGAGCCAGACAGGGAGCAGACTTATTCCATTTTCTGGTGCAAGTGCCATACCGAGCATCAAGACGACCACACAGTGAAAGGGAAGATGGGATAATGGTTAGTGCACTGGACTGGGATTTGGCAGATGGAGTTAAGTCATCTTCCCTTTGTTCTTGAAGTGATCAGAAAAAGGAAACCATTTATATTAACTTCAGGGTGCTCAAACATTCCCAGCTCAGCAAATACCACCAAAATATTTCTCCTAACAGTTGTTAACAGCTTATGCATTGCCCCTCTCAGACTAAGCACAGCAGACAGAAATCTTCTAACGAATCACACTTCTAGGAAAAAAAGATACAACAAACTTCAGAATTGCTACATCTTGGCTAAAGGCTCATTTACCCATCTGCAAAGCTTCTTACCCTCCTGATCTTCACTTCCAAGCTGCCCATTTGCTGTGCACTTGCAGTCAGAGAGAGCAGATCAGGAGCTCTTAAATCCATGCAGATCTTTATTTCTAATTCACCACGTTTTGCCTCTGGCAAGGCACTCAGGCCAGCACTGTCTTAGGGGGTTCTGTTTAAAGCACCCTTCTGACTGACTGGGGACCAGGTTCCTACTGAACTGAAAAGCAGATGGGACAATCAGTAAGTGCATCTGAAAGCAAAGCTGTTAACTAGTGCGTTTGCTCAGAGGGAGGGCAGTGTTCAGCCACCCTACCAAAATATGTCAGGCATATTAATTAGTGGTTATAAAATGTTCTAACTTTTCACAGGCCTTTATAAGTGCTGAGCATTTTAATTGGCAGAGCAGTCACGCCTGAGAATTCAGTGTATTGTTAGAAACGGACATTTTCCTCTCCTACAGTCCTTCCCATCACAAAGTGTCTCATGGAACAAATGAGTGTTTATATTGAGATTTTACCAACGGAGGAACTGGGTCAGAGATGGACAATGTCTGGATCAGACCCATGGAGCAGATGAATGACTTAGTCAAGCGAAAACTAAGTCACTTGATGCCAGGCCCAGTGCTCCATCCCTACCACCAGGAGTTACTAAATAGGGGACATAAATAATCCTACAAAGAAACTGATGTATCATGAAGGGCAAAGAGCCTCTGAAGCTATGTGTAATGGCATAAAGTACAGCACAAGCATATTATATATTTAGTTCTATCTCTGCTTCTCTGTCGTGAGGGCAGAAGGTTGCTTGGACAGTTCTCTTCTGGTCAGGCTATTATGTTACCTGCTATTGAAATGCAGGTAAAAGTGTATATGTGATTCAGCAGTAGAAGAGGAGTTTGGTTTACATGGGCTGAAAGAATGTTTCTTATACCCAAATGAGATTTTTGCATGCATCTGCATACTCACCCAGATGCTGCCTCTGCCGTGCTCCATGCCTGAGTTTCATGCCAGGTTTGCTCTGCGTAGCAGGCATATCATACGCACACAGTGACCTGGTACAAGAGCACATTCTGCAGGCCAAGTCTCAGGCAAAAATTCACCTATAAAACCTAAGGTTTTTTGCAGTGAATCGGGCTTTCACTAGGAATTAACATAAGCTGCAATGACTAATCTTATACTCTGTGCACTCGCTTGTTTTCTTTTCACAGTTCAACCACTTTCTTCCTTAATACTAAAACGCTAAAGTCTTACAAAGCATTCAGAGCATTATTTTCTGTTGGCTGTGTTTCTCCATGCTCTAAGCCTCTATCACAATGCATGCAAAGGATAATGGCTGATTTTGTAATGCTTTTAACTAAAAAAATACTTTTAAAAACATAAACCATAAATTATTTATTCCTCTTTGTCCATTGTTTTAAGCACTGAGTCTTCTCCCAAGATTTTACACAGTTCATTCAGTCTCTGCTGCATTTTAGGAATTCCTGCAAGCTGGGATTCCAGTCTCTGTTTTTCCTCACTCAGTGATAAACGGATAGCGGTGTCCAACTGCTCGAAACGCCAGCCACCTTGTCCATCAAACTGCAGCAAGTGAGTGTGGTACTTCCTGCAGTAGAAATTAAAACATTAGTAATGGCTCAGGGAACAGATGGCTCTTTTTTGCGTGCAAATTTAGATGTCTGTGTCTCTTTTCAATGGTGCCTCTCAGGAAGCTGAGAGTTGTCCAGTTCTGGATCACTGGGTAAACTCTTTTTCAGTGACTCGTAACCCCGTGACACGCTTTTGCAAGGGATGTGGGTATTTCAAAGCCTGTCATCAGGACCTCCCTAGACCACCCAGCAGCAGTGTGGCAGCTGTGAGCTACGAGCACCGGTGTGGGCTCCCCAGCCAGGGCAGTCAGTGCGCGGCACGGCCGGGCACTCCGAAGCCCTCGCCTGTAGTGATGCTGGCAGAGTGGGCAGCGGGGCTCTGCGGGGTCCCCTCATCACCTGCTGTCCCCAGCCAAGGTGGTGGCCTCCTTCTTTCAGCCCTTCTCTTAGAAGCACTGTCTGTGGCTACAGTTGCCTTTGCTACGACTCCACCAGACTCCTTTTTCTCCAGGCGCTTGAACAGCAGCCGCAGACAAGTCTCCCTTCTCCCCCAGGAGTGCTAGTCACAGTTTATTTTATCTACCTCACTTTCTGAGAGATGCCTTACCTCCTTAGCAGAAAATACGTTCAGGCAGGCATGGTGCATCTGATGCTACTGATAAAACTCCAGTTTGTTCAAATTACACCTCAGTTTGTTCCCCTGCATCTTACAAGGTTGGCTAAAGAAACCTCCCGTCCCAAAACACGGTTCAATTTGCAAGGGGCCAAAAGAAAAAATTCTGTGTAGGAGTCACAGATCTTTCAGTGAGTATCAGGGTATGTGCACTGAAAATATTCAAAGGTGTGCACGTGGACTTTGTCAAAACCTGACAAGACATTTATCAGGAGGTGCAAGAGCAGAGAGTTCCCTCAGAGCTGCTGGTATGACTGTGTAATTTATCATTATAAATTACCAAAGAGGAGATGCATCATAAAACAGTGATTATAAATCCCATCCACAGAATGTGACAGTTTAATAAACTCAATAGCTTATGACATGGGACTTAAAATTGGGATTCAACTCCAGGCTTATATTCACCACTTCTTGCATATTACTCTTTTTGACACCAAATGCTTAATCTATCCCTCTATTTTTCTCCCACCAAAAAAAACACAAAACCCCAGGAAGTTAAGATAGCTGACTGAGACGTCCAATGTTTGTGGTCTAGGAAAGTAGCCAATATTTTGATTAAAAGACCAAATATTTCCCCATATAATATTGAGGAGAAGAAAACAGCACGCAAACTCAGTTTTTGTCTATGCGGTGCAGTCCCAGAGGAAGCATACCTAAGTTAAAGGCATTCGATGCTTATTTCTAAATACTCAGCACTTCTGTTTACTTCTCCAGAACCCCACAAATCACCAGATTTCAGTAATACTGTGTAGGTTACAAGAACAATCCCAAACCTTCCTGAATAGCATTAGTACTAGGAAACAAGAAATGTCAGTAGGAAACTGAACTCAAAAGATCTTTCTCACAAGTTCTTTTGCATAACTTCCCTCTGCATCATCATTATTTATATGTGAGATGCTCTCAAATACCTGTTTTCTTGAGCAGTGGTTTTAAAATAATGCCAAACTTTAAAAAATGTAAATACTACTTTTCTTTTTAAGTGTAATTTAAATTATTTTAAAAACAAATGTCTATGTGACATTTTTTTTTCCTATTAAAATACCCATTTTTTACTAACATGTAGGTCCTGATCCAACAAAATCCATTTCCACTGTCACCATCTACACAGTGAAAGGAGGAATGATGAGAAAACTATTCTTTTCCAGAGAAGCAGACATTGATACAGTTTCTTTCCTTTGAGACAACAGATTGGTAATGGATTTTTTGTTATCAGTTTAAAAGAAGCAATCTGACAGTAGGGATCAAGGAGTTCAGAGAAAATAGTCTCTGATAATGTCAGCTTACACCTTCTTGATCCCCTTTTGCCCTTTAAAGTGTTTGGTTGTTTTATGTATTCGGTAACTACATTTATTTCCCTTCAGAGACTCTTCCATACTTAGTACTCCCTCACTAGAATGACATTTCTCAGAATTCCACTATTTCTTTTCTTAATAGATAATAAAATTTTGAAAGCTCACAAACCCTGCAGATAGAGGACATGACTGATATTAAAACACCAGATGTATTCTTCCTGTGGAAGAACAGAGAGTAGTTTAACCACCTGCCATGTTTCCCATCTTCTCCCAAGTACTGGCAAACTTTCCCAGGACAACTCATGTATCTTGTCACTTTTACAGAATAATAATATGGTGCTATCTGTTGTGGCTGTGGTGTGGTGGAATAATTAATTGCATCTTAGACACCTGCATGTTGCTATTAATAGTTAATATCTTAAAAACGTTATAAAAAAATAAGAGGGAAGAAAAAATATGTGTCAAAGAATGAAAAAAATCAATGCTAAATTCATTTCCATCACTATCAGTGTAGACAAGTTATCACACAAAGTGCAGTAGATATTGATTAAACAACTGCCCTAGTATGAAGTATAAAGGCCAATCCACTGCCTATCAAAAAGCTAAAAGCAAGAACCATGACAAATTCCTGAACATACTCACCAAAGAGAAGGTCTGTGCGTTATAGAAAGCAGTGATATCCCAGCAGCTTTTGCAGCTTGGAATATCTTTCCTTCAACATCAATGCTTACAGCACTTGTGCATTCGTCCAGCAATGCGTATTTCGGCCTTTCAAAAGCAGATAAAGAACATTACTCTTCTATGTTTTGGCTGTATTCCAATGTGCAATGTTTAATTGAAAGAACAACAGAAAGGAGGGAGATGGTTTTGCCAGACAGCTGTCTCTCATCTACACCTGGAAGCTGACTAGGAACAACATAAAATTTCCAAGCATTATCCAGGTGCAGAGACAGCTTCCAGGAAGAATGGGGTTTATTTCCTGGTCCATCTGAGTACACAGTGATCTAACTTCCATGTTCTAGTTTGACCTAGTATTGTCCTGTCCTGTCATCAGGTCATGCAGTAGCTACAGACAACTCAAACTTTCTATCCACTGCTATGTAGGGACTGAGCTGTCTTTGAGCGCTTGCAACCTCCAAAAGCCAAAAGTTTTGGAGCTTGTCTTTCAGTCTCCCACAGCCTCTGCAACAGTCCACCAGATGAGATGTTGGTGCCTGAGATGTTAAAGAAAGGAACACCTGGAAAATGTAATGCTACGTTCCCAAAAGCAAAGCTTAAGTAAAGTAACAAGCATTGCCCAGACTAAAAGCAGAGCTTGTATAAATGAACAAGGTCTGCAATCCTATGCAACTGTCTAGTAGTATTGTATATTGCATGGAGATTAAAGTCTACTACTGTTCCAACTACTACAGCAAACCTGCCAAACTCTTCCTCATTTTCAGATGCTACTTAAAGAACAAATCAAAATGCTTACTTATGGTAAAACATCCGAGCCATGCCCATCCTTTGTTTTTCTCCTCCTGATAAGACATCTTTCCAGTCCATGATGGCATCCCAGCCTTTTAAAAAAATGCAAACAAACCACGTCAGGACAATGTAAGTTTATGAAGGATATGTAGCTTCACTTTCAACATCTCTGCAATCTGCAACTAAAATCATAAAGAACATTTCCACTGCAGAAGAGACAGCTCTGGGTTCTGGATCACATCTTCTGACATACCTCAATACCTTTCCACTGGCACTCGATTGGAAAAATGTCCCAAATATCATGTCAATTTTGAAAGTGGAATTTAACCTTCTAGGTCATGTAGGTATTGTCAAAAAATTTCACTTACCATCTCTTTGCAAAAACATCTTCTACCCGTGTATAGCTAATAATTTTATTCTATCATGTCTGTTTTATAGAACAATTTGCTATTCCTTCTTGAAAGGTGTGAGTGGAAATTTAAAAACAAATTCCAAGAAATAAGGTGCAAAAAACATAAAAGAGCAGTGCTGGATTCCACTCACTACTGTAGGCAAAGAATAACTGTCTGTAAACTCAACAGAAACACAGATGCAGACACAAGGATGAGTTCTGTGTGCACAGACAAGCAGCTAACATACAAAACCGCATACAGGCAGGAGGATTTTCTATACAAACATCCCATTACCTTGTATTTGGAAATGACCCACAACTGTTATTATACTGGGTATCCTTATTTAATATTCTGCACGGCTTATAACCTTTTTTTTTCTTTATCACTTTCAGATACATGCCACGGGAGCGTGATGCATTTTATCTGTGATCTTACAGCAGAATGGTGTTTCTGCGTGTACTCTGGCATGATTCATTCCCATTAATGAAAAACTTCAAACACTAAATTGTCTTACTGAAACTAAGTTTTCAGTCAAACAATCCAGATGGATAGAGTAGCAAAACAGATGAGTTTTGAAAATGGAGAGTTTGGATGTAGAGAAAATCTGATAAGACATTTCTCTCAATAGATCATCTATTCATGAGACAGGCAGCTGGAGCAGGGCCGAGCAAGGAAAAGAACATTTTTCCAAATCAGCCCAGAAGCACTGTAACTAAAAAATTAACAACACAACCAAAAATCCTTTCTGCCACTGCCCAACTGAAAATAAACATTTGCCAAAAAAGACTATAAACAAGGTCAAGCAAGGAGGGTGGGCTGTATCACTGCTGGTACCGGTAAAAAGGTGAGACAAGGGGGGCTTGTGAAGGTGCAGGAGGATGGGCAGTGCTCTGCCTGTGCTTGGTGCTACACCAGGGCTTGGTAGGTCTGAACAAAATCTCAGTGAAGCATCTGGTGAGAGCTTGTGTGACTGAAAACAGGAATTGATAACGCTAGAGACTGAATTCCAGGATTTTTCTCCATGTAAAATTGTAAAATATAACGTCATGATTTTTTAATATAAGCGTATATAGTTAAGATTTAAAAATCAGGCATGTACACTCCAGAAATATATCACCTTAGTTTCCTTCCATTCTATCAGCCAGCTCCTAGCAAAGACAGAGTTGTGTAATGATTAACTGAATCACCATTTGGATGAACTCTGGTAAAGTGAAGAGATACAGAGAGGCTGCTGCTGCTGCTGAGCAGTCCCGGTGCTGGGACCACACCGAGAGCTGGAGTGCTATTCCACTGACACCTTCAGCTTCCAAAAAAGACCAGGAAACACCTGGAGTGCTCCTTTTTGGCAAAGGGTTCTAGGGGCAAGGAATGGGAATGGTCCTCCGTGAAAGCCATAGAAACAACTAGGTTTCTGAAGACAACATTCAGGCTGCTGCTTATATTCTGTTATTTTTAAGCTGAGAATATAGATGAGCTCCAGGGATCTGAGCTAGGGTGTGGGTGGGTGTGCATGTGTGCACATGTGCCTGGGGAAGCGATGCCTACATTCATACAGTTTCTTCCAGATCAGCTGGTTTGTAAAGACTTATTAAAAGACAAAAAGGGAATGAAGTTAAAAAAGAAGCATCATCTTGTCAGCAAAATCATTCTATTATTTCCTCTGAAGGTGTAAGATTTAGCCTCTGTTTACCAGGAGACAGTGGTCATCTCTGTGGTCACTTCAACTTACATTCTAACTGAACATTAGAAACGTGTCTTGTCTCTCCCTGCATAGCTCCCTCACTGAACCTTCCTATTTGCGACTTAGAATGTCTCAACAACAGATAAGGAAGGATCCATTTCAATATTATCCCTTTTAAAAATTATTTTCTAATGTCTGAACAATTTCCTCTGAACACTTAGGCACTGTAACTCAGAATAAACTGACTCCCTACTGTGCATTAACAATAATGCACCTACTTGTTTCTCTTTTCTTCTTGCTGACATGGCACAGGTCAGTGAAGGTCGTTAGTGTTCTGAAAATATCAGTCAAGACAGTGGCTTACGTCACCCATAGCTACATCTACTTTACAAATGAAGAAATGAAATAGCTTGTCCATTAAGGCAGCACAAATGCTCAGAAGTTATAAACATAATTCTGGCTTTCAGAGTCCAAATTCCTTCCCCAGCTTCTTGTTACATGTAGCCTTTGATTGCACATGGTATGATGTAGATGTGATGAATGCTGGATGTCACAGAAATGCCTTCTGCAACCAGTAAGACAAAGAGCATGTGTAATGCGGTGGGGCAGAGTAACAGCAGTAGAAACATATACAGCTGTCAGCAGAAACTAGTGACAGCCTCGTGACAACAGCATTTCATTTTCTTGCAGGGCTTCTTTTACAATTTCTTTTACCTTATTTTTCTGAAGGAAAAAGCAAGCTAAATTTGACAACAAAAAATGGGTTACATCTAGGATCTATAGTACTGTGTATCCTTCACCCTTGTGAATCCCTGCCCTTACAGATAAGACAAGAGCATTCAGCTGCCATAAAATGATACGTTTAAAAGTTCCTTTTCCAGATCTACATTCCAATGCACCTCATCAGACATGGACTGGAGTGTTACAGCTTCATGACAGAAGAAAGGCCACTGCAGCAAACTCTGGCCAGAGAGTCCACCCTGGGTGAGATTTTGAACACAAAGGCTTCTTGCACAGCGTATGTCCCCAGGCAGTTGTCAAAATGGAAGAGAGCCCAGGTGCTGTGCACGATGAATATGCAAGGGCAATCCTTAGCTGAGGGAGAAACAAAGAGACCATCAATTGTGTGATCCCAGATCAGCATGACACTGAAGGGATTTGTGTCTCTGGATTTCAGAGTCACTGGAAAAGCTGGCAGAGTACTCCAGAGTCCCTGCTGCTACCAGTAACAAAAGCAAATCCAGGGCTAAAATGATCAGATGAAAAAATCTTGGAGAGAGGAAATCTGCTTGTCTACGTGTTTATATGTGGCCTAGCACAAAGACTCCCTGGACAAGACCCAAAGATATGACAACTGTGGAAAATAATGAGGAATAATTATAATCCGGGGTGCTGAGAAACCATAAACAGGTTGAACTTGTTCAGTAATGTCATCATCCCCAACCTGACAGGCCTGGTCATGCATTCAGCATGCTGCTACATGTACTCATGGCTCCCCTCATGTGACAGGCTATCGGCAGCCTAAGGCTGCATCACAACTGACACTTGCTAAATATACACAGATTTTCAAAGCAGATCGAAAAGGAACCACTTTACGTGTATCTACGGCATATACACATGCTATTATTCACGATTTCTGGACATGCCTTTTCACCATCCGTGCTGAATACAACCTTATTTGCTACCCTCCTTTTGTATGAAATTACTGTTCTGGTAGAGCTAGCAACTCTGCAGGTGTTGATGAGGGCACCTTATTGATAATATAAAGGTAAGTAACAAAATGGCATCCCTCTAACATCCAGCAACTGAGAAAAACATCGGTGTGGGACTCAGTGGGAAGGAAAATCTGCCCTTAGCAGCAAGGGGTGCTACTGTCAACAGCAGTTTCACTGGGTTCTTCTAGGGCTTGGGCTCTGGGACATCAGGAATGGTGGTGGTGGGGAGGGAGATTTTGGTGGTTTTGGTGTATTCTGTTGCTACCGACTGAAAAAAGTTTCATGAGGGTAACATGGAAGGAAAATGACAAACCGGGCTACTTATTCTTGTAACTATTCTGTCTACTTTTAACTGGGTCAAACCTTATTGCTGAAAAAGAGAGGAATTTCTGCCATTGGCAGCAACAAGAACAATGTCAGGCTCTTGTTGGCCCCTTTACACTTGGAATCTGGTGACCCTTGTACTGATGCAATGTGGAAGTAATTCAGCTAAAGACAATGAAGTTACGCCAGGACAAATAAATTGAGTCAGAGTCGTGCACTTCTGGCTCCATTTGGCTTTTTCATAACTGCCCACAGGAAGCAGAATACAAAACTGCAAAGCATCATATTATATACACTTGATATTCATAGTCAATTAAAGCACAACAGGGTCGTACTCTAAGGAGCCTGCTGTCTGGTAGAGGCTTAATACTACAGGGGATAGGTGAAAGGGGAAGAGACAGAGGTAAGGCTCTGGAGAAGAGGATCTACAGAAAAATATATTGAAGAATTATATTATATTTCTAAAACTTAATGACTGACAGTTTATGGAAATGGTTCAAAATAGCATGGGCATATCCCATATATCCACAAGAATATGAATAACTAAAAATGGTTTCATTGATTTTTTTCCAGTTGTAGTACATTTTCAAAAAGTGTATATAGTACATGAATACAAACTTGCTGGGGATTTTTCAGCAAAACTTTCTTGTATTGGCAAATGCCAGTGTTTGTCAACTATCAAAGCAGTTTGCAAAAAGGCAAAAGATGGTTTGGGGCAAATCCCTTGTTCTACAAGCTTTATAAGGGATTTTTCATCATTTTGCAAAGAAAAAGTTCAATTTTTAATAGAAATCATTTTAGTTTAAAAATTGGATTTTAATTAAAAGAATAAAATAAAAATGTTTTTTGTTTTTTTTTTTTTAGTAATTCAGCTACGTATAAATAAAAATTTTGATTGTTCACTTTCAACTAGCATTTATCTGGCTTGCTGATACAAAAAACAGAATATGACTCTTTGTTGCAGACTTGGGGAGCTCTAAAGAATATGTGAGAATATGAAATCCATGTAATGTGTCAGATCATATGTCACGGATTTCCTCTCTGCTCCTACCTTGGCACTTGTCTCCTGCAAATGCCCAAGGAGAAAAGAGAACAAGTAAGTGTATTATGGTCCTAAAAACTTCCTGGTATGTGGTAATCTCTCCCCCTGTTTTCCGGCTTTGCCCACTTCTGTCATTTTAGATTGAAAAGTACCTAAGACACTTTTTAAAAAACATTTGTTTGTGCAGACTTTTGCACAGTGTGCCCTTGTCCCAAGTAGAGTTTCAATAGAGCACCAGTGAACATTAACAGTGTCCTCTAGGCTTTTTTATAGATCGTGTGTGTCTTGCATGCAGTCAGACAGGCAGAAGAGCAAGAAGGGGGTCAGCAATAATTACTTTCTTTGGCACAGAAAGTACAGTGAGACTGATCCAAACCTGGGTTTTCAGTTTGACAGCACAGAACACTGACCATAGTCAACGGCATCTCATACATGGAGCACAGTAACTGCCCCATCATCAGTTATGTGCTCCAGCTGCAGAGTTGTGAACCACAATGATGTGCCTTCAGAGGCTGCTGGGGATATGGTTTTGGCTGCTGAGGGTTATGTGTTGTTCAGTACACCTACAAGTACCAGCAGGCTATGAATGAACACTACACAGTGGTGTCTTGCCACTGACAATTTAACTGCTCCTCCTTTTCCAACTCCCCATTCCAGAACACCCGCTTGTTCTGCAATCTGGGCACTTCACCTAGTGAAGTAAGTGACTCAGGAAAACTAACAGGAATAGTTGTAATGTCACTGTAGGGAGTAGAGGCCTTCTCTGCAACTATTCTAGTCACTGAGTTTAGCTCTCTTCCCACTTTTTCAATCCTTGTGTCAATAGTATCAGATCTGAGTAATAATACGAAACAGAATGATGGCAGATTCTTATTTTCCATTGTAACTTGAGGGTCAACAATGATTATTACATTCTTAACAAAAAAGCATTAACCCATGGAAAGATAAGAGTCTATCAACAGGATCGTGAGGTGGAGAAGTACCTGTAGGTATACACCTGCTGCTGTAAATGATTATTACTCTCCACTCTATAATGTAAAGAAAAGACACCAGATGAGTGTCCATGCATGCTTCAAAAATAAAATATACCTTCTGCCTTTTGAACAGAGCAATATGCCATCCAGGAATGGGAACTTAAATGTTGCCTTGGGAATGATCCTGAGAGACACCAAGCACATACATTAAAAGGCAATGCACCTGAAGTGCCCTCTCAAAAGGGAGCACTGGCAGCTGGCAGAGAGAGGCAGGGTACACTCAGCACTCCCAACATCAGCTCCTTAGAGGGGTTTGAAGATCCTCCTTGTCTCTAACCTTACCAACTTTGTCCTCTGTCTGTTTTAAAAGCACAATTATGGGGAGGAATTTCAAACTAGAGATTAGTGGCTGGTGGGAATAAAAGGATGAAAATTACTGTTCTGCTTGGGAAAAAAAAAGCCATGAAGTGCTCCAGTTCCTTAGACACAAGATAAGCCTTTAGCATTTACCGTGCCAGTGTATTTACACTGTCCCTTACTCAGGACCAACAATGCTGAGAACACATGGCAACTTAAAGAGAAACTGGATGATGGCAATACTCTACTGCCAGCCAGTGTTGCTTGGTTATTTTTAACTTACGCACACTGGTGATGTGGTATCAGACACTCCTTCTCATCATGGCACATAGTCCTCCTGATCCCACAAACCAGGGAGGTGAGAGCAGACCTGACTCTCTTTTCATTCACATGCTTTTGAGTTTGACATAGTCAGTGACTTTAGAAGGTTTTAAGACAGATTACATTTTCTAAGAAAATGAAGGAAGGTCAGTGATCTCACAATACCATGAAAAGCCTAGCCATTACAAGAGAACAAGGATGTTCAGCTTGGGCATGGATTTACTGGGGAGGAGACAAGCACTTAGGTCTTCTCCTCTTCTCCCTTTGTTAGCATCAGGAGCAACAACCATGTGGTTATGCAGCTCCCACAACCACAAAAGGTCTGGATTCAGTTTTGCCAGTTCAGTAAGTAAAGGTCAGTCACACTAAGACGCACACGTGAAGAACCGATTTTGTAAAGCTTTTTACAAAAATATGCAATTTACCTCCTTCTCTTTGAACTATGTGATACAGATGAACCATATGCAGGATACACTCCAGATCTTGATCTTGGTAGCCCTTCTCGTGCATGTCATCCACAGAGTCTGGATAGATGACTTGATCACGTAGTGTTCCAATGGACATGTAGGGCCTGAGAAACAATACAGTGAAACTGGTAATCTGGAGCTGGCTCCAAGCGAGCACGCCTTGCTGGTGCTCTATGAGCAGAGTGTAATGCTTTAAACACCATGTTGCTAAAACTGGATTTATCTGTGGACGCATTGCTGGTGAATGTTTCTCTAAACTTACCCTAGGGACAATGTATTGTTTCCGTAACAGCTGATTACAGGGTAGCAACAGGGGTAGTATTAGTGTGAAAACACAATGACACGTCAGGCAGAATAAACATCCACTTCATAGCCCATTCTGAATGCTTTCACTTGGAATCAGGGAAACTATGCTGCATTCAAGGTTTGCTACTCAGAGATTTAGAAATTGCATCAAGCACACGCATGTTAAAAGCAAATTGTAACAAAAACTTGCAGCTCAAACTGGGAAAGACTTCCATGGTGCAGCGGAAGACACGCAAGCCAGGCAGAAGAGCACTGAAAACCTCCTTTGCACATTACTATTCTAGACTGCAGAATCAGGACCAGGTGTAACTTATCTGGCTCTAGAAGCTAGTGTAACACTTCCGAATTGAAAAAAAAGCATAAAATACAGAAGTTGATCAGCTTAAACCTCCCAGAACCAGCTTCCCTTTGCCAAGCACAAGGCTGAGCTGTATGTGAAGCAGCTTCTGAACCATCTGCCTTACTAAAACAAGCTGTCTCTACTTTGGAGACAGAGTCCTCAATCACAGCTGTGTCCCTGGCACGGCTATGGTCAGTCTCCACAATGCCATGAGCTGTGCTCAGGCTCTAGTACAGCCCGGATCCCCAGACTCTTCCTAGTCTCTAAACAAAGTCAGCTCAAAGAACAGCCTTACAGCTCTTTAAAAGATACCAGGCTGTTCAGGGTAGGATAGCAAAGGCAATCCAAGACACATCTATTTGACCATCTCTTTTGCTCCTGTTGTTCTAAGGATTTATTGCGAAGGACAAATATCCATCCTGTCCCACAGACACTGCCGATAGCACTTGGAAGCTGGAAGCAACCCGGGAATGATCTGTGAGATTCTGAGTTTGGAAGGGAAGGCCAGAGCCAAAGAACAGTCAGGCTCCAGACTCTGTCCTGCTTTCTATGCCAAGAGTTACACTAATTCCCTCTGGGTTCATTTGCCAAAACAATGCTAGTCTTATTAAAGCTGTGGTGCCAGGGGGATGAGGACCAAGAGGAGCAGTTAAAATTGGGCCAGCCACGAGGAGGCTTCCAGGCAGCTTGCTCTTGCCACTGAGAATTGCTTCCAACAACTTCACAGCACACTGACAAGGGGTCAGTGTTATTCCCTGGAGAGCTCTGGACCTGCACGGTGGGAAGGTCTCAGCCATGCAGAGGCTTTCCCTGACAGAGATGTGTAATACCTTAGCAGATTTCTTCCCTTCTCTTATAGATGTCTCTACAGAAGGGGTGGATCTACCCGTTGTTATTCTGAGAGTCCCTAAAATACACCACAGAGTGATTTGAAGGAATTCATAATGCAACAGATGTAGAATTACAGAACTAAAGCTGCAACATGAACTGAAAGTCACATTCAAGCTGGCATCAGCTGCGTTGGTTTTAGTGCTGCAGACATCCATGGTGAACTGTCTGTACCCGCCCGTAGTTAAACTACTTTCACCACCAGCCGGGTGAGGGTGGGAAGGGCAGGGGATCTGAACTGCTCGCAAACATTTGGTCATCTCCCTGCTGTGGGCAGGCACCCAGATGGAGCAAAACCAGAACCGCAAGTCAAAAACAAGCATTGCAGCTCCTCTTTGCTCATTGTTGTACTTTCTGCTTATTGTGGGAAGAGTGCTGCTCTGGGCTGCTGCGTGAACACTCGCATCAAGTGCAGCGAGCCATTTACATTGATGGAGATATTGCAAAATCTCAGCTCTAAACATTATATAACTTCATGAAGTAATGATATATTACATTTCCATAGTGCTCTCCATCTAAAATCCCAAAGGGCTTTTCTTCTTGCATACGTAGAAAACATTTCACTCACTCTAGACTGCTGCCATCTCTGGGACAGAAGACAGCAACTCCACCAGGGCTCAGAAATTTTTAAATCAGGCTGTGCATAAGACTGTGTAATTTAGGTGAAGCTGCAGGTAAGGACAAGGAGGACAGAATTACCTATCATATAATTTGTCTGGGGCTTAATACCTTACTCTTGTGAAGTATGATCCTGTAATGACTAGCAGCTCTGAGATTTAACCTACAGCACAACCAGGAAGACAATGCTCAGAAGCACCATGCCAGGACACTCGCTGCCATGCTGTTTATTGAGTCACCAGCACCACTTCCTGGTACAGCTGGATTTTCCTTGTGGCCTCCCATCTAAACACACCAGTACTACCAAGCACATCTCTCCCCACCTAGTCTGTAAAAATTAAAGAAAAGACTAGCCTGAAGTGGAATAGCAAACCCCATTAATTATTGACTAACTAGCAGAGAGGAAGAATGGCTTGTGGTTCCAGCTCTGTCCTGAGAGGTGGGAGAGCACATTCTGCCTCCCCCATCCTACAGGGAGCCACTCATGTCCCTGAGGGGACACTTCATCTTGCTTGGCACGAGATGTCTCTTTGGGATTCCAACTCTTGACAACAACGAGAGGCACCTCTGTGTAGTTGGTTTATCTCATTTATTTTAGGAGAGGGATGGATTGCTTCCTGGGGGTGTCTTCTCCCTCAGTGGGGGACAGAGCCCAGACAACTTAGATAACTAACTTCTAAAGAGTTAAAGTTAGATGAGATGTCATGTAACTCATACTCCCATAATCTTATACTAAGCCAGATTTCTCTACCTGGAACTTGAAGACAATAACCTCCTTACCTACCATGGGTCCCACAAAATTGAAGATGCTAAAACCTGTTAAACATCAGATGTTATTGTAATTGAGGTTACACATATTTGATAGATAGACAGTAAGTAGTAAGAAGTATGGGTAACTGGATACAGCAACAGTGAAATTTTGGCTTTGCCAGTAAGTTCTTTGTTAAAATACTGTTTTCATTAATTTTTCAGCAGTTCAAACAAGTATCTCTTTTTGTCCTGAAGTAATACTTGAATTTAACTGGACTTAATTGATTTCTGATGGAGTTTTTCCTTTCAGTCAGAGTGTCTGTGTTCCATTCTAAAAGAGAGCACTCTTACAGACTCCAGAAGCAACTCCTCTGCTGTGCGGAGGTCATGCCTTTGACGGTAATAGCTCTGCAATTCTTTAATTTCTTTTTTCTGCTGTCTGAAAGAAGATTCTTACACTGTTTTTGAGAGATGGGATTTAAAATCAGTAATCTTTTATTAAAACTTTGGTATCAAACCTCCAGAAAGCTAAGAAAACTTGTTGATTCTTGCCTGGTTTTCTGGAATTTCAAGACATTTATTGGAAGAGACACTCTCAGTTCTCAGAAACGGATCTTTTTTCAGTCAGTTTGATGGTTTTATTGCATCACCAATTTCTGTTTGTTGCACTTAGTGCTTCACTTTGTAGAGCTGTAACTTCATTCTGCTAGTAACAAGCCATCACCCCTAAGGCTTACGGCTTCCCCCTTGTAATGCAGGCTTTTAAGAGATGACATCAAGATATGCTGCAATCTGAAGCCTGTGGTATGGGCAATTCCCCAGCCCCCTACTGAAACATGACATTATGTACAATGTTGGCAAATATTAGAGAAATCATATGGGGAGGAAGGGTAAGTGTTGCTTATGATATTGTCTCTTTTTTGTGGTTAGCTGTGGTGGGGGAGAAGGGCACAGGTGCTACAAAACACATTGAACTGCATACCAGTCACTTATCTTTCCAAACAGAGGACTTACATGCTGGAGCTGTTAGGCATAAAGAGAGGTATAATGCCAGTTGAAAGGGATTGTAGATTAACACTGCAACTGTAACCAGGCAGTACTAACGTCCAGTAATTCTCTGATGTCTTGAAGAGCAGAAGGCTTCACTCTTTTGGGTAGCAAGTTAAGGAAGATGACTTGCTTAGATGTCAAGAAATTTCTGTTCCAAAATCAGAAAAAGCCATATCCACTTGAAATGTTTACAAATACTTCCCGAATGTATTCAATGGTGTTTTCATCTTCCATGAAAAATAAACTATGCTGACTGAACTGACAACCTGTTCTGACATCCATAATATTATTTTAAAGAATTACAGCAACTAATCAATATTAATTTTGAGAGTCTATAAAGCAATCTGAATGGTCAGTCTTAACTATAAGCACCCTGGAATAAGAATGGGACCAAAAATATAAATTAAGTGGCTGACGTCAGAAGTTAAGGGATATTAGTCCAATATAAGTGCCCAAGGAACTGCTTCCAGGTACAGGCTGAAGCTCACCTTGCCTTCCTTGGCACAGGCTGTGATTAACACTTCCTCCGTAGAAGGTAAAGTCTAAAAACACGTGGCTTGTGATTCTGGAACCCATCTGCATGTCCCCAACTGAGCAGTCAGGACCTGACTTGCCATATGCTGTCCAAAGGGCTTGCTCTGACATCTAAAATAAAATGTATTTTAAGTTTAGGCACCTCTAATCAAGAAGATGATACTGGAGCCCAAGGTCCAGCCATGGAGGTATCTTCATAGGAAACTTGAAAGATCTTAAGGAGTGAGCGCTTGCACTGAAGAATCTACAGTCCAGAAAGCCAAGGGCACAGTTCACACCTACAGCTGTGCCCAGATGCTGTCTAATTCCCTAGAAGGTCCAGTACAGCATGGAATATGAAAGCAACGGTGTTAAGTCCAGCACACAATGCTGAAGCTACTAGACATGCAAGATGAGGGGCTGTATGACAATCTCTTCCAAGAACTGAGTTCAGGCCAGTAACTATCCTAATCCTTCAGTAGCATTGTAAAAACATATTAAAGGGGGTTCTAATCTTATTGAGGTGCCTGCTCTTAGGAGGGAGCTTCTTATAGATAAAGGGGTTTAACGTTTAGCTACCAGTTTGGTACCTAAATGTCAGTAAGAGGCAGGAGTTCAGACATACATTTATATTTAGAG